GATTAAAAATGAAATGATTTCTGAAAGGTCACCAAGTCCAAATTCGGTAAATTTGTAATTTTAATTAACACGTACTTCTTATGTCACAATCTGTCCTAAATTTTTACTGTTTTTTTTAGTCCGTTAGAATTACAAATGATAAGAGCTTTTAATTGAAAAATAATTAAAAGCTCTCATCATTTGTAATTCTAACGGACTAAAGTTATATAATGGGATGGCGAGTTCCCTTTTTTCTTTGGACACTAAACAGCCATTGGAGAAATGAGTTGAGCTAGTTGATATAATACCATGTGCAGTGTCGAAGGTAAGTAATTTTATTCCATATTATCTCCTGTTCCTACGAAAAGCAAAAGTAAATTCATTAGTAAGCTTTATTCTGCAATTCAATATAAATTCAGAAACGAATTTTTAGTCGTTTTATTTCTCTTATTTGTATTTATTTAGTGTTCTGGTAATACTAGTTAGAGGCAGGATAAAAACTCGTCTAGAAGGCTGGAAGATTAGACTCACATTTTTGTTACTCATATTAGGTAAACCGAGTTTAAACTTATAAATTAAGTTACAGATTCCCGCAAAACCGCCATTTGGCTGGTTATTTTTTAGCCTGTCCAATAGCGAGAAGATCGAAAGTGACAATATTCCATTCCTTAGCCTTAAAAAGAAACCGGTAAATTACACTATAAAAACACACAAATAACTGAACAAGAAAAACCTATATCAAGCCATTAAAAAACGCTAAAACGTCTTTATATATAATACACTCCTTTTTCACCTCTGACTTTTATCCACGTTCATACCTTGATTGCAAAATCTATTTTTAGTTCAACTGTAGGAGCGCACTTTTAAAAATGTAGCAGGTGGTAATAGCATATTTAAGAAAAGAGATGATTCAGCAGAAGAGTTTGGAATAAAAATTCGAGTGATTTCAACATGCGGGTTTGATAAATGCAGTATTTTAGAAATAAAAATATTGAGTATAAAAGTTTAGCATTTTTGATCTTAAATCTGGATACACAGTTTTTTTAATCGAAATTCTAGCTTCAAATGAGAAAATAATAACTTTGTTAGGCTCGTTTCTAAATGCATTGTATAAAGTTAAGATTAGTTCTTCAAAGCAATGAGAAAAACTAAATAAAACGAACTGATGAACCTAATCTATTTACAGTATTTCCTGTTGTACTGTTTATTTTTTTCTTAACGTTTTTAACTAATTTTATCGTAGGATAATCAAGAGGGAAAAGATAAGCGAGCACTTTAATTTCTCAAGAATGTAATTGAGGTAAGATCATAACAAATAAAAATGAAGTCAGAAGAGAAACAATAAGTAAAACATAAAATCAACCACCTTGTATTAGTCAAGAACTCAATCGATTGAAGGCAAACAGGTACCGGTCCCTCTTCTGCAGCAGCAATGAAATCTGCAACACTGCAAACAGCGGCCGCAGCATTGCATTTATACCCTACGACAGTAAAGCGAACAAGAAGGTAGTGCCATCTGTCGGCAATAATAGTAACAAAATTGAAAAATTAAGTTAATAGAATTTTAAAAGCATTATGAAGGACTGCATTAGGGTTTAGCTGGACTAGATTGGACTGGATGACTTCAGTTCAGTCCCTCCAAAATTAAAAGTCTCGAAATGAAACTCGATTAAGCAATACGACAAGCGGTATACTTACTGTGAAAGCTGTTAAGATTGTTACACAGAAATTTCGAAATAATAGTTTCGAAAGCTGCAAACAGATGGCGCTGTGCCCCTGCTGACTGGATGAAAACATGTCTAAGCTGTTTCTCAATATTTTCTAGGGTAAAGTGAAGAATCGCCCACTTATTTGGCACGCTGTGTTTGGCGCTTTTTATGAGATTGATAAGTGCGCCAAATGTAGTATCCAAGTCGATTTTCCCGTTCTGAAAAAGCGCGAATTTCAGAGCATTTTCGCGCATGCGCAGTATGTATTTTAAATTGAGAATTTCTTTTCAGCGCGAAATTTGGAGCATTTTCGCGCTTGCTCAGTAATTTTAAAATTTAGAATTTCTGATTGGTGTAGACGATAATAGATGGTAGAAGTGCAGTTATTTTAAACAATAATTCGAGAACATTTTGAGAATTCGTTACTTTTCGTTCTTCGGCTGAGCGGAGTGGATTACCGCTTTTCAGGTAAGTAAACGTATTTTAATTTTTCAGTGTTTTGTAACAATTTTAAGTGTTTGAAACTTACTATGTTTTGAAACAATTTTTAGTTTTTAAAATTATGTTTTTGTAAGGACTGGATTTTCATATTTTAAAATATTTTGGAAGTGAAAGTATTAATTTTTCAGGGTTTTGTAAGGATTTTATGTTCTTTAAACTTAATATGTTTTTGAAACGAGTTTTAGTTTTTAAAATGATGCTTTTGTGTGGACTGGGTTTTCATATTTAAAATTTTTTTGGAAATGAAAGTATTAATTTTTCAGGATTTTGTAAGGATTTTTTCTTCTTTAAACTTACTATGTTTTAGAAACAATTTTATTTTTTTAATGTTATTAGGTTTTATTAAAGGATTTCCAGTTTTAAAATTTCCCACTTATTTGTTTGGCGCTTTTTACAAGAGTAAGAAGAATTGGATTTTTGTCAATTTTCTTTGCTTTTTAAGTGAAAATAGTTCGATGTGTATATGGATAAAGTCAAGGGAGTGTGCAATGCCATTTTTGTGCAATTCTGGGATGTTTTTTAAAGTGAAAATAGGTCGATGTGTACATGGATACTGAGTTTGCGCATTTCTTAAAAACACATCAACTAGTGGGTGATTCTGCAATTTCCCCAATTTTTTTATAGGTGAATGTATTTTAATTCTTCAGGGTCTTGTAACGATTTAAAATTTTTGAAGTTTACTATGTTTGTTTTTTAAAATTACTATGCTGATTTTAAAGGATTTTTAGTTTTCAAAATTTTGCTTCAACTTTTGTTTTGTATTTATTTTACCTCTTCGCCATTGTAAATGTTGCGCCTTGTGTAGAGTCTTGTGGAGGGGTTGCAAATCCAGAAGACAAGACGCGAGAGCGCTCCAAGTTGGCGATTTTAAAAAACGCGCCAAGCAGTAGGCGATTCTGCACTTTCCCTATTTTCTGCGTGCTGGAACGCTTCAACCAGTCTCTGCTATAATTCTTTTGACGGATTTCCTTTGATTTTTTTGATTTATTCCATAAACAGTTGCGACATTTTCAGAAGTAACTGCTGTTTCTGTGCGATCAAAACTATCCACCAGATTATCGGCCACGCTGCCTGTCGCTTGGAAATTTAGTGAAGAGCTTGTAAATGGTTTTTACATTGGATCCTTTGGGAACATTCAGTCTTGTTTCAAAACTTATGCCTTGTTGCCATAGAACTGTAATCTAACCTCTGGTATTCCAACATGAGAAATGCAAGTTGTTCAATTGAATACATGATTTCAGCATCTTTCTTCTATCTGCTAATATCCTTTCATATTTCTATAGTAACTAGGGACGCCGACTGCAGTACCAAAAGGCTCGGTTCGAATCCCGAAGAAGGCATGGTTTTAACTGTCCGTCTCTTCATAGAAGACACAGGTTGCCCACCTATTAGGTGCCTCCATAATAACGTGACCACGAATTCTGGCCTTAGCTGTGGCCAAGCCGATGTCGATTGAGGACCCGCCACTGGAAAAAAAGTTTAACTGAAAATTACAAATAATACACTCACCTTTTTCTTTCCAAAAATATTTCTTTTGTCGTTCACTGAAATATTCATTAGAAGATTTTTGTCCCATTATTTCCTTAGTTTGTGCAGTTACAGCGCCATCTGGTTGCAGCTTTTGTAACTCTATTTGCAAACTTCTGTATAATAATTTTACAACTTTCAAAATAAATATTCCGCTTGCTGCATTCCTCTATTGATCTTTATTTACGAGATCTTTAATTTTGAAATCACAGACTCCTTTCTGGCCAGCCAGTATATCTATTTACCTCTCTCTATATATACGCTATACAGCGAAATATAAATGCATATATTGATATTATTACTAATCACACAAAAGCATTAACGTATATCACTTGTAGTATTGAAACGCATTTATCCCAAAATTATGCTAATTATATATGATAATATTCCATGTAAAATTGGATTGGCCTACTAAAATGCACTACCTGAGAAAGGAACTGTAGCAACCTGAAGTTCCTGCCATAATGTTGCGCAAACTGCGAGGAATAAATAATACCAAGATCTGTGCAAATAATATATAATTCAAATTCGTCACGTGATTAGTGGTTAGTCACCTACTTCCTGTCAAGTGACCAAACTTTATACTTGTCGAATGGCTGTGTACTTGTAATGTAGATTTGCTACATTTGTATTGTGTCCAACTCAAATCATGCTTCATGACGAAGAAAAACAATTTTTAGCTCCCACCAACATAACACAGGTAAGATAGGTAATATTTTCGGCCCAAATTACCTCCCACCAACCTATATACATAGGCAATGGTTTTTTTGGTCCAAGAATTCAGAAGTGAGGTTTTAATAAATAAGCATGAATTAAAGACCACGCAACATATTTTTTCTACTTTTAGAATGATGTCTATGTGTATGCGTGCATTGATTTTAATGGTTCACGATAAAAAATTTTTTTCCGTATTTAAGATTTCTGCATTCATGTAAAGAATTGCTTGGATTTTGCGTAAAACTGGACAAACTGAAGTGGTTCTTTACTTGGAGCCTATAACATTTTTTAATAGAACACTACTTTAAAATACAATTGAAAACGTTTCACTTTTAGAGTTTAAGACTTTTATATAACTGGGAACAACATATTAGATTTTTGGCTAAAACTGATAACTAAAAAGTACTATTGAACTCAAATTCATAGTGATAGTAAGAATATCAAAGAAGGAAGGCAGTTATATGATTCACTTGTTTATCTTAAGTTGGAATGCACTTAGAGAGAATTCTGTATTCCAAAACGTCTATTTTCAAAGTAAAATAATAAATATTTGAAACATTTTCTTACTTTAATAATGCCATCATCACATCCGGATGCAATCCATCTACCGTCGGGGCTAAATTTCAAGGCATTGACGGATTTGTTGTGACCCTATGAAAGAAATCAGTACGTTAGCATAATTACAGCTTTTTACCCTTGGTAACGCGAGAGAAGATGATAACAAATTGATGTGAACAAATTATAAAATAGGACTACCTAAACCCCCCTCCCCCCAAAACAAAGAAACCTTGTAACTAGCATGTAATTTTATGTCATTTATTACTCTAAAATCTTAAACACCGAAGAAATAAATTATGCACAGAAAATGAGATACATAATTTTAAATGCATAGTGTGATGTTGAACTGAATATGAATATCGGTGTATGCCACGAGTTCGTAGAAATTCCCGTAATAAAGCAGGAAATTAAATTAAGAAAGATAAAAAGCAAGAAATTAAAATTTTATTGAAATAAGAATAGCTCTTACAACTAGCTAAACCCAACTACAAATAGCCTAAGGGGAAAAGACAAGAAAAAGAAAAGATTATCACGCAGATCACAAGCACCATTCATTAAGCAAAGGGTTAAAAAGCTGTATGGGTCCCAAGGCATGAGGCTCCCTTGTGCTTCGCTTGAGCGTTTGATTGACCTTCGGGAGCGGTACACACCTCAAGCATTTTTAATGCGAACTGAGATGTGACTTGCCATCGCTATTGAGCCCTTGCTGTGGACGTGGTTGAGAACCCTGTGTGTTAATGTGATTGATCACTGTGTTGGTGGGCGGAGGCTCCAGTGCGTGGGAGTGCCTGATTTGACCGGTTTTGTATCGTGTGTATGGCACTGTGGCTCATGCACCGCTCATCATTTGTTTCCAGGTGAGCTGAGGTGGCAACCTATGTCATTGTCGATGCTAGATGACAATCGGATTCGATTGTGAAACTGTTGCTTGGCAATTAAATACATTTGTATTTTCCTATATACAAATATAGGAAACGACAGTTTCCGATATTTGAACTGCTTCGTAGTGCGAGGGTTTGATTGGCCCTTGAGCTCGCTACATAGCAATCATCGAGTAGGTGTTTATTAAAGTAATGATCGGAATAACTAAACTCAGTATTAACAGCTTCAACGCAGTTTTAGGTGGTACTAGAAAGTTGTTCTCAGGGCTTTGAAAATGCGTTTTCTGCATATTTCCAGAATACAACAAATGACCACAAAATCTTCCATTTTTGCCAACTTGGTGGCAAAAAGTGTCGCCAAAGCTTATCAGGAGAAGTTTTGTTAACATCTCTGGTTCTACATCAGCTGTTTAAACAATTCAAACGTAGATAAATGATCTATGGAATAAGCACTGAAGAGCCTAATAAGTAACTCCCAAATTATATTAAATCTAAATTAACACATAATAAAACTGTTATACAAAGTGTAACAAGTAGCTCTAAGATAAATGGATAGCACTGCAAATCAAACCCGAACAAGTAAATAAACCCGAACTGAAAATAAATTCAAAGTCTTTGATCATAGCAGGCTGATTCGAAATTTGTCACAAACCATTTCCATATTAATGAGAACTGGTATTTAGATTAGCACAGATATAATTCTTTCATATTTCATCACACATTATTCATCATTCAGGAGACTCATATTATTCATTGCTGTTCAAATGACTCTGTAACTGCCAAATTCAGTACCATGTTCAAATTCAAAAGGAAATATTCATTTGATTTTAAATTTAAGCACGGATAAATGTTTGTGTATGAAACTAGTTGACTATCAAGCGTATAAATTTGGAATGAAGACAAAAGCTGTTGCTTGGATTCGCTGTTTGTGAACGATGGGCAAAATAGTTAGACATACGAGGGTCAGTCAGGAACTGAAGAATTCCCACCCTATACGGTTTGCCTATTATCGGGTCCCTAATTCAGGGTGTGGTAAAGAAAAATTTATCTTTTATCGAGGCAGTAAATTTTTGTGACTTTTTCAGCACTTTATTCTGTTGATTCAATCGAGAAACTGTTGTTGCTGCTGTGACTTACGTCACTTCTCTAACACTAACATCAATCTACCAGTTTTATAGTGACTAGTAGCACAGGATTACGTCTATCCTTGTCATGGATCTTGGGCAGTGTACAGGTGACAGAATGACTTCTTTCAATCTTGTTTCGATTATAAAGGAAAATCATTAATGCATTTTCTCTCTCCTTTCTGCATGCTTCCGTGGTGTAACGGTAAGCACATTCGACGCGTATTCGATAAGTCCAAAGTTCGAGTCCCGGGGTGGGCATGGTTCATTATTTGTCTCCTGCTTCGAAAAACCCTAATGATTCTATAGTGGTTCCCGAACTGAAAAAACGGAGTAGATGATGATTCTTCACCCCCAGGATGTGACGATTGTGTCTCCTAATCCTCAGCCGCCCTTTAAAAGTGGGAGTATATAATTTCTTCCTCCTTTCTGCATACCTTCGTGGTGTAAAGCTAACACATTCGGTGCGTGTCTGAGGTATCCAGGTTTGAGTCCCGCCAAGGGCACAAAATTTCAACTTTCTGAGGCTACTCATTTTTGAGTTGTGCGAGAGACCTGCATAGGTCGGTCCAGACGTCACGAAAGAAATCTCTTCTGAATCCATTTTGAAATCCATTTAAAAAAACGAGTTGTTTATTCTGCCCGTACGTACAGATGTCACGCAAAAACATGGTTCAAATGTATTGGACAGATGGGTCAAAATAGATATTTTCGTTGAAATATGACATCCGAAAATTTTCGCGATTACAACACTTCCTGTATTTCGTAAAAGGAAGTAAAAACTTGTGAGGGGTGGAATCAAATTTAGCAACTTTTTCGAGATAAAGTATCTTATGGGAGAAATCCGAATTCCTTTGTAACTTTTGAATTATTTCTTTGTACATTAATTTTGCATATTTTGACTAGCCCATATACTTCTGTTTGAGGTTTGATGTCTAAAATTAATAACATATCTTTCAAAACTATTTACAATAAGTACCTACTATATTAGGCTTCTTAGACATTTTTAGCTTTTCGACCTACATGTACGTAATTGATCTAAAATATTTTTTTAATGGCCGGGCGCTTTATTTAATAGCTATTAGTCTTGCCCCTTTACAAAGTACGGAAGTGATGGCTATTTCAGGATGGAAGCACTTAATAGCTGGACACCATTGCCTCCTGTTGAAGGGACGAATAGTTACAATAGTGACTTCTTCGGGATTTGAACCCGGGTCCATCGCTATGGCAGTCAGGATCTCTAACCGCTATATTGGCTTGTTGATCTGAAATAGAGAGAGAGGGAGGAAGAAACGATTTGCGGTAGAAAGTGAAATGAAAAAAAAAGAAATGAAATGAATTCATGTCAGCATATGTTTTCTATTTTTTTTTTCAGTCTTTTTCTCAGTTCATCATATAAATTTTCAGATTTTTTAATAAGATGGGTTAAAAATAATTTTTATTTCTATTTTTATTAACGTTTTGTGTGTTAACTTTATTTATTAAACATCACGTTCTTTGCACTTACGCCATATAAAATTTGATTCATCAACAAAATCCCAAGATATTTAGAAACTGCACATTTTATGAATTTCTAGCAGTCTCGGGTGCTGAAGATAAAAATGCTTTATTCAGTGCAATTTTGCCACTGCTCGCTTTCAAATCCGTGAGTTTGTTAATTAAAAAGCACTTCAGGTTTTAAAAAATATAAAATAAATAATCAAAAGTAGGTAACATCATTCTATGAGAATATTAAACGTTTTTAATTCGATTGATCATGAATTAAATGCATGCTTATTATTTAAATCAGGCCGAATAAAAAATATAAGCGAATACTCTTAAGAACTGCATCAATTGCTTTCAGATGGCTTACGTTATTATTCTAAAACAGACATATTTAGTTTGAAAAGTAAACAGCTTATATTTTGTCGAATGGCAACAGACTCGAACGAAACGTAAGACAAAGCATTTCTAGTGATAGGACACAAAATCCTATTTCGAGACTAATCGTCCCTTCAGGTTAAGAATGGCGAATGAAAATAGGTTAAGAATGAAAAATAATCAATATATAAAAAGGAAAATACCAAATGTCTATTCAACTTTTTTTCCCTTATAAGTTCTCTACTTTGAAGCAAACGTTGATGGTCGTTGAAAGTTATTTTTAGATATCCCGAAGTAAAGAGAAAATATTTTCTTCATTATTCTGAAGATAAAAAAAGCATTTTGGTTTCCGAACAATACCAACTTCAGCTATTACTTTACAGATAGTCAACAAAACAGCTTGAAAATGTTCTGTCTGTTGGGCTGGCAACAATGTGTCTTTGTATAAGAAGGAAAAGTTTTCTCAGGCAAGCAGCTTATGTTCTACTGTTTATTCGCAATCTATGACAAAAGCTGTTGACTTAGAACAGTGGTCTTCAAACTTCGTCGACTCACGCCACTCTTAGATTTAAAAGTTTTTCTTCGGGAATCCCTATGCCATCCTTAGAAAGAATGTATCTTAAAATAATATTCAAAGTACTTACAGTACTCAAAGTATAGGAATATTCAAAGTAAAGGAATATTCAAAATACTTTAATTTAAAGTATGCATTCCAAAATTTATGTGCATGTTATACGTACTTTTTTAAAGATTATTACATTATGTAAAGACAATTACAGAAATTTTTTCGTAAAAGATTTCAACTTAAAATGTTGTTGTGACTTATCTCATTTGTCTGTCAGTAATATCAGAGCAAGCCCACGAAATTCACGGTGGTAAGGCGTGAAAGATTGCGTCTGTCGTTGGCAAAAGCCTTGAGCACTATACAGGTGATAGTACTACTTTTCTCAGTTCCGCCCCCAATTTTGATGGAGAGCACTCTGGGGGAGATGGGTCCGAGGGTCTCTTATCCCTCTTTCCCAGTCATCAACCTCTCGAGAGACTTTCGGCTCTCCCCATATTTAAAGTGGAATTCACTGTACCTCACAGACCATACCGCACAGACACTATACATTTAGAAACATTCATGCCTTCTTCGGGATGCGCCCACCAGCGGCCGAGCGGTAAAGTCGCTGAACACTGGTAGTTCGGTCCAAGGTTCGAATCCCGCGAACGGGCTGGCTGCATG